ACGAGTTGATGCAATGGTGCAAGAAACAAATTATTCGCAGTATGTCGGCTCTGTTTACGTTTACCATGGTTGTACTCTTGAATTTATTGCTTAGTGTCGGATGGCCATATCTGATACCAGCTGGAAACCCAACAGTTCCATCCCTTCAGGTTTTCACCCGCCCGAAAAACTGTTCAGAGCATCCTCATATAGGAACGAGACTATGGAAGAGATACGAATCGATCTAGGCAGGATACTCTGCCGTATTACCTCTCTGTATAACTTTTCCAAACCTTATTGTATCCTTCAGAGGAAGCCAAAGCAAAATTAGCGTACATTTATACAAGATCACACATTTAATGTCGAAAGAATAGGGTTTATACGGTATCGTTATCTTCTCAGCCGATTGTTGTCACGTTATGGTACAGCGACAGTCTTGGGTTCCGCACTGTTGGCATGTTCCGCTAGTCAGACCTTTACTGTAGATGATGCCGGTCTCCCGTGCACCGTTGATCGTATAGTAACTGAAAAGGCACTCGAAAATGATATTATCGAGTTAGGTGGTGGTGAGGAAATTGATTGAAATAGACAGCCATTGTAATAGCCACAGATCAACCTAGAAATTTCTGTGCTCGTTATGGGGTAATGGCATCTCCAGTCAGTGGTTCTTTGACTACTGACTGAAGTTGCTCCATTCCGTCCATACGAAGCAGTCGGCACGAATCTATGTGGCAACCCTAGGACGAGGGAACAGAGGGCAAGTCTCGTATCCCCTCTCACTGCATTGGTCAAAGCCGATCTTCTTGAGGGCAGGTGTAAGAGATCTAAAACCCTCTAACTTGTCTATTTCGTCAAATTAAAGGGGAAGAGCTCGTCAGAATGACAGATAGATTCGGGAAAGCTGCATGTCGGACGGGTATAGGTCGCCTGCACCTCTAGACGCATTCGGGTCATATCACGACAACTTCCGTGTAGACCTTCAGCTGTTAGACATACTTTGGAACATCGGCAACTCTTTCGAATCCTAATTTCTCGTAAAGACGAATCGCAGGTATATTCGAGTGTAAAACATGTAGGTAAACCTAAATTATTGTTGATTTGATGAGATCATTCGTAAGATGAATCAATCAGAACTTACTAGTTGGCTGCCTTTTTGGGCCAGCCTCGTAGTACCCCGTTGCAACAATTGAGTAGCGATGCCTTTCTTTCTAAAGTCTGGTGCTACAATTAACGTTGAAATATAGCAGGTCTGAAAAGCAAAGGGACTACTTTTTGGTCCGATTCCGGAGATAAATGATGGAACAACCTTTCTAAAGTTATTAACTAGTTTTTGTTCTTCAGGATGAAGATCCTTTACATTAAACTCATCTTTTGCACTTCGTACTATACCAATAGCACCAACAAGATTATTTTCCCGATTATAAGCACCTGTGTTTAGCTGAAAATCAATCAGTACCCTGGTTTTTATGGCACTCATACCTACCGAGTGAGTAGTGAGTGACTTTGTTTGCGGCGATAGCCAGCCAAAATGAATCGTCATACGGTAATGGAAGGCACTGCACGCCTAGCCTGGAAAGCAATCTATAATTAATAGCTATTTTTTGTGGGTGTTCACTGCTGTCATGTGTGGGTTTCTGGTGAATATCGATTGCCACAGCGCAGTGTTGCGATAGGACCGCGTTGCGACCGCTCGCTCGCGTTGTGTGTTATCTGTTCAACTATGAAAACAGATTCCTTTGACCATTCTTTTCGTTTATGAGAGGGTAACTTGTTGTTGCGGTTTGGTTGTCGATCCGTCGATTTCCAGTTTCTCTCAGTATCTTCATCCCCATAATTTCTCATGGTTGTGATGGAGGTAGTCGTATGAACACCCATCGCAAGCTGAGGTAGAAGCAGCTAGAAAGTAACGAAGGAAGTGAAGCTAAGTTGGGGCAGTATTAGGAACAGTGGTAATGCAGCACAGATCATGACGTGGGCGTCTACGTCAATTGTCAATATCAATCAATATCTATCAATATCTATCAATTTATGGCGATAATTATCGATTGATAGATGATTGAACCAACTAGTAAGAGGTACAAATTACATGTGATGGAGTAAGCTTTTTGTAATGGAGTGTGTTTTAGAGGATAGGGAGGACCACGGCTACTTCGTTGCAAAATTAGTGAGCACCATACGGGACCAACTACAAAGGAGTATGGACTTAGTCTTTGAGCGCACTAGCCGCTCCAGTCAAGCTGGTTGAGAAACTAATCAAGTACTTTTCAAAATGTCGACAAGTTTGCATTGCATCAGCTTCCTCTTATGCCCGACGATGAGTCTGCTCCAGGCTTGCGAGTGATACATCCTTTGAGAAACTTACCTTTTCAACACCTCGAAGTCATGAATTGTCAGTTCGCGAAAGGACACATCCGCGGTTTGCGCGCGTGCCATTTACGAGTAGGTTAGCGTTAGTAAATGGGAAACACCACCATCATTCTCTTATTTAAGGAAGCTCACTTTCAAGATTTTGATAAGGATTACTGTAATAATCAGCTGTAAGTCGTTTTCAGACAGTCATCGTTATAGAACGGTGTTTTGCTCATTTCTGGGTGAAATAGAGCATTTGGAGGAATTAGGTTTTGAACATTACACCCTCTTGACAAAGCTCAAAGTGCAACTGCTCCGGCTTGGAGTTTCATTCATGGGTGGAGATGGGGTGGTACCATAGGTGAACCCCGGTCGTTGTTCATATATCCAACCTGTCGCCCCTTAAACATTGATGTTATAGAGTAGGCACCAGTACCGTCTCCATTCTTCCTGTCGTGAACCAGAGCAGGCGTACTGTATCAGAGACTCCATTGAAGTAGCATGAACCCTGTACTTGAAAGCCTGCACTGTTCAATTAAGCTTTACATTTTTCTCGGATCATCAAGTTGGCGTGGGAGGACAAACTGACTGGCTAGTAGTTTCATGTGTGGCGCAAACAAAATCAATCGCTTTTGAATAGTACGTATTTCATTAGCTGCTATGTTTATGTTCCTAGAATATCGATGAAAGTTCATTTCAGACCCTCACATGGCTCCTCTCCTTTCGATAGTTAGTGTGCAAATACATAATAAAAAGACGGTAACTCGAAGGGAAAGAAGCTCTGTTGTGAAGGCCCTTTTCCATTTGTACGACCATGTAATAACGATGTGGTAGGAGAGAGAAGTTATACGCTCATGAAAACTACTTTAGATGGTTCTGTGCCGTTTACAATATGTAATCGCCAGTCGGGTCGCCCGGCTTACGCCGGGCCTCATTCCGTACTTTTACAAAGTTTATAGAAAATGTGTTATAGTTGGAACCGGAGTGGGTGTGTGCACCTCACTCACCCCGCACTTCTCCACTCCTGAAGCTCAGTTTGAAGAACTGTATGTTTTCAGATAAGGAACGTTTCTGAACTCATTTATAGGCTCACTTCCTTATCTGCGCTATGACGTTCAAAATTGGAAAAAAGGGAAAAAATACATAGCACGATGCCAGTTCAGGTAGAAATCACCGGTTTGGAGTCTCCACTTCACTTCACATAACTCATTTCACTCCGCAGTACTAACTCTATTCCATTAACCTACCCACTTAGTTACTGTCTATATATAAGAAGGAAATTCAGGATAGAACTGGGTTTTCCGTATCACTACACTACATATCACTGTACCTTTACCGTAATCATGAAGTTTTGCGGACGGACAGCCCAACAAACCGACACACCAAGTTACTGCTTTGTAGATAAGAGAGATTACGGCTGGGTGTCATACTGTGTCGAAGTGTTCCATATCACTCATAATTTTTACGAGAAGCCACACACTCAGTAAGCCTGGCTCTTGCTTTCGATATTTTTAGCAGCGCCTCGATTACTACTCTACTGGAATTTTCTGAGTGAACATCGCTCGCTACCCTCAATCGAGATGGCCCACTGTGAGGATACTACCGCCTCTAGGTCCTAGATGCTTGACAAGTGACGATCCGGTAGTTACAATACATAAACCAAGGGCTGCTTCCGAGGCGGATGGCTCCAGATGTTGCATGCTGAGAATTTCCGGTTAACTTCCACCTACCATTTTCGATTCTCATGGTCAGTGCAAAACAATCAGAGAGGGTCCAGACAGGCAGCAACGGAAACGCTTTCCAAAGAATTCCATGTCGACAAGCAGGAGAGGGACTCCTCCTGTAGTCATTTTCATTTGTCTGGATGTATTAATTGTTGCCTAATCCTTCTAATGAAAGCTCAGTAGAGCAAATCAATCACTCTCGGGCGCATTGGGTCAAGTACCCCATGTTCTCTTCGATTTTTTATGAACCTGAATATATGACCGACCCATTCCCAGACAAAGCCTGATCAACATGGACCTTTCTGTCTACAACTTTCTATCAAAGTATGAGTGAGTTTCTTTTGAATTGTACTAAAATGCAGCCACCAGCACCTTTATTAATACAAAAAACTACAATTATTTCCATAAACACAGCCCAATTACGTCTGGAGCCAATACTGACATTATTCTAGATTACATATGTATATGTAGATCTATATATGCTAATATACAGCATACCCTCACGTTGAAAGCATAATTTTATCAAATTCTTTTATGGATGCCGTGAAATCGAGAAGGAATAGAAAGAGGAAGTCTTTTGAGTCGCTCAAATGGGACGAGTCGTCTCCCAACAGTACGCCTGGTATCATTTCCTCCATTTCCTTCCTGTTTTCTGTTTCTTTTGCATAATTGAGCCATAAATATAAACAAAATTGAAATTAAAAGCTCATGGAGACTTATCACATCACCAATCACGACTAGATATTGAACATTATCAGTTGAGAACATCACTCATGATGAACACATAACAGAGGCGGGACAATGCAACGAAAAATCTATCACCTTGCATCAACTATACCCTATAGTAAGATACTGTAATCCATATTATTAGCATTATTAATACCCCCTACCCACGCACTAACTATACCCTACAGTAAGATACTGTAATCATATTATTAGCGTTATTAATACCCCCATCTATATAGTTCAAATGGCAAACGTGCAACAAGTTTACATCAGAGCAATCAATCTTAATGAAGCACACAAGGACAATAAATATTATGATTAAAAAAAGGGGAACATACAAAAAGCTAAATTTTTTTTACAATACAGTGCTCTCTACTAGAATTGAGGGCGAAATACAATGGCTAAATGAAATAATCAACGAAAAATTCGAATAGAAAACTACTCAGACGCACCCGATGACAACCATGTGAACTAATGGAACAGCAAAAAATATACGCAAGCAATGCGGGCAAACCTAAAAAAAGAATTTTTCGAATTTTGATGACTGTGGAGATATAAGAGAAAAAAGATGAGCGTTCATTTTCTGTTCATTGATAAACACATATCCAGGTCACATTCGGTGCTCTCCAATAGGCTGCTGAATGCTCCAGTACTCATAACTTCTCCCACTCAATTTACAGATGTTCTACGGGTGCCTAACCCCATACTTACAAGTTTTACACTTAAGAGATCAGAAGATTTCCAACGATTTTAAGTTGCAAATAGATATGCAGATAATGTATCTTTAGACCAACAGCCGCACATCGTAGGTAAGGGCTTCCCGCTTCCGACAGCAGGGTTCTCCTCAACTTTTCGTAATGAGGTATTAGGGTAGATTTCATCGAAAGCTGAGATTCATTCTCTTACAATAATACTGATATCTATAAATTTTACTATTATCTATAATTATTGTTATTTATCTGTTACTTTCATGTCCTGCTGGGAGCACAAAATGAGAGCATTCATTGTTTTGGGTTCAGTTTGGGATACGTGCACTCGGGTATCAAACTTAAACCCTTTTTTTTTGCTTTTATGTTTGTTTAGATGATATCCTGTTGCCAGCCAATGTAGAAGTCAATGCTTTTATCCTCGCAGATGAATCCAGTACCAAATAATCGATCCAAAACGGATGGAAGGCCTGGTTAGCCTGGGCGGGTATCAGTCCAGCCCTTCTTGGATAAGATACCTTTACATATCATATACACATGTACCTTGTTCATGAAAAACACGGATAAATGACCAGGGCGCCAGGGAAAGGCCACCACTCCCTCATCTTGAGGCGTCGTAACATTCCTAGCACTTGTTAAATGCTATTTATGAGTCATCCGAGAAGCTGAGGCGTTTACGCATCGAGCAATTGAGCGACATTTTATGACGACTAGGTCGCCCCACGACATTTCCCTCACCGACCTGATGAACCCTTCTTGCCTCGGACGGCGACATATCGCTGATGCCAAATGCCACTCGTGAAATGTGACCCATTCCGAAAAAATGTCGGAAATGAGGTCCCTGTTCGTTCCCCTTCTTGCGGTCTGATAGCGAAAGCGTCAAGTACGTATCTTCGAAAGCTGAGGGTTTCTAGTAACAGGACAAACTGAGGTGGTTATACCTACTTTGGCTCAGTGAAAGCTCCTATCCAACAGGTTCTTTGTAGTCCTTTTCATCCGCGTCCGGCATTTCATTTACATAGAAATCTAGAAAAAAACTAACAAGTCCAGAACATAAGCAAATAATCAATAGCTATGTACAGGACATAGAACTTCCTCTGACCTAATCTCACGCCTGACTCACCATTATCCTCCCTATCATCTGGGTGTTTATCAGCCTCTTCTTGCCCTCGTCTCATGTGGCGATCTGGTCGGGTCATAAGCCTCTTCACCAACTCTTTTGCTGGGATTAACGTAGGCGGTTTGAAAGCTTCCTGATTACGATTGAAAGACAAAACATCGCCGGACTAAAAAAATGGAAATGAATATCAGAAATCAATTTGTTACAAAGAGAATATTTTGCAAGTTTTCCGAAAGCCTTACCTTGTGTTTTCTTTCGAAGAACGCAGTCTCATTCTGAGTGTAGTGATCGACTGGGATAGCCTATAAATGAAGAGCCCACTGATTTTTTCGAATGCTATCACCAGAAAAAATCTTTTCAAAAAAAAAANAAAAAAAAAAACGGTCGATATGAGTCTTAAGCACATAAGTTTTGATGATTCACTGTAAATTGTTGATGAGACTACAAAGCGATACGAAAAATCACTTTAAGCATTTAAATTTCATGTAACTATCATGATTCTTTCGATTTCTTCATTTTTTAATAGTCATTTGTGATTTTAGATAAGTATTTTACCACCAGGAACCACTTATTAAAGGAAGGCCATGGAAAAGCTGGGCAACTATTTCAATAAGACTGAAAGAACATTTCAATGTAGAACTAACTGGAACTGTGCATCTTGGGTTGGTCCACGGTCAGCTTAAAAGTAAAGCTCTGCCAAAGGGGTCGTTTTTGGTCTAACGGTCTACCGTATCAAGTTTCGACATAAGCTGATACCGTACCTCCGACTTCTATACTGAAACCTCAAAGGTTCATGTGTTCTAAGCTTACAAGTCCCCACCAGTCTCCCCTGAAGGATTAGGTCTTGGGGCTATCAGTTCCGTCTGAAGGATACGCCCACCCACTGGACTTTCATTTAGACTCACAGTGTTGTATTGAATACGTATGTGGACTATACAATGCTTGCAATCGCCAGCCGATGAACTCTATCCTCCCATACGAGTCTGCTACCGTACCAACTAACGACCCCGAAGAGATGGTAGGCTTGGTTGGCAAGGGCGGATATCGATCCGGGATTCGAACCCATGAATATGTATGTGTGAAGTGCCACCTGCCACTGACCACTTCACCACCAGTCTTCCCTACACCAGCTCATCCATTATAGAAGCCAGAAATTCGGAATTTTTTTTTTCGAAAATTCGGAAGTCAAGCACATTCGAGCATA